AATTACTGACTATTTAATTTATTGATTACTTCTTTTAGACTTACACTTAACTTATTTCATGTGCCGGATACAAAATTCACCGGCCGGGTTTACACATGAAAACTTGTAAGCTTTCATAAAGGAGTATCATCAATCTCAAAATTGAGACATGGATTTCATCAACTAATTATTACTTCGCCAATGTATATCATTGTTATCCAATTTACCAGGCTTATTGANTTTATAAAGTCAGTATAAAATACTCATCTCTACTTGATCCGTTCAATACATACAAAATGTACTAACACATGAAGTTGGAATTAAACCATTCCCATAATCAAGATAAATTATATTTAATCTTGTGCTACAATCATTCCGATGATTTGTCCAATTCCATTATTAGATTGTGAACATTAACTTTTATGTCTTACAAGAACCGATGATTTAATCTTCCGTGTATAAGCTAAACTCTATACACTAAATCATCTACTATGTAAGCAATGGACGCACAAACCAACACATGATCTATTTAAAATGAAACTTTATTGAATTTAAACAAGTAAATAAATAATTATTCATAAAGAATACTATAACAATACGCATGGCTTATAGTATATTCTAACATTACCCTTCCCAGACCCCACATGTAAGATTACACAGGATATGTTATTGTTGTAATGTTTCTACCAAGGGCAATGTATATGTTACATAAAATTCGTTTAGAGATCAATATAATTATGTGTACCTTTGGTTTCTCTGCAAAACCTCAAGTCTAGCCTTAAGTTTTGCATGTTCCAGAGTCCAGCTTCCCTGCACCAAATTAATTACACCGTCCTCAAAACGAAGAAATGACTTCAACTTTTACGCTTTGTTAATAGAAAAGAACTTTTAATATCAATGTATATAAGTTAAATCCGAAATAAATTAGCCATACCGGGGAGCTATGATCAGTATTAGCAACAGGCTGCCTCTCAGCATATGAGTATCTTTCATATCTTTCAAGGATCCTCTCCATGCTGATATATAGTATCAGAAGAGAGTTGTTTGATCAGAATCAGATACAAGTCAAATACAGGAACGCCCCAAGAAAATCAACATAACATAATTTATTCTCTTTGATCAAGTCCTTTGGTAAGTGTAGCTTTTTAATCGTCATAGCAGCTATATTCATATACTATTAAAATAGATACTATGTTGTCTATCAGAATATTTAGGGAAAATAATACATATATTAGCTTTTGTATTATTAATTTCTTGTTTGATTGTGTTTTTTAACTTAGTAATTATATATATATATATATATATCATATTCAGTACTATTATTATACATTACAAACTATGGCATTTGCAATACCATGGTTATTAATAGACTAAATACATAAACGGCCCATTTAAGTTGTCCCTAACGATTAGGCAAACACCTCAACTGGCCTTTTTACCATTTAGACACTTCAATATGTTACTAAGTGTATCAAGTAAACACACAAGCGCATATAAACATATGTGTGAGTTACACTTGCTAATAATGTATTAAATGAACCAATCTCCTCCTCCTTCTCTCCTCCTCCTCCTTCTTCTGTGTTTGTGAACATATTTTAAGCTAGTTTATGATGTTTTACAGTGGTGAGCTGTGTGGCGCTTTATTTTTTACTATTGCTTAGGGTCTTTTTTTTTTCTTAATTGCAATATGGGTTCGTTATATTTAATATTGTTTTGACAAGTTGATGATTGAAGATTGTTCTTGATGATATTTGGAGGTTATATTTCAAATTTGAACTTATTTGGAGTAGATTTAGATATTAAATTGTATATTAGATTGTTAAAATTCGAAGAACAAATTTCTGTTAATAGGCAATTTGCAGTTCAGGCCTATTTGGCCTTAAGTGCATGACAACGTTGGTTGCACTTCAGACCTTTTGGCCTTAAGTGCATCTGAAGTGTAATTTTTCACTTCAGACTTATTGGCCTTAAGTGTAGGAAAATATTTGTTGCACTTTAGACCTTATGACCTAAGTGCATCTGAAGTGTAATTTTTCACTTCAGACTTATTGGCCTTAAATGCATGAAACTGTTGGTTGCACTTTAGACCTATTTGGTCTTAAGTTCATCTGAAGTGCAATTTTTTCACTGCAGGCTAATTTGTTTTAACTTCAGACCCGATAAGTCTGAAGTTGATCGTAAAGTAGATAGGCTTGCAATTTTTTTGTAAAGTAGGTATAAGTTCAATTGTGACTCCAAAACCAATTATAGATGCAAAAGCCCCCAACGCACCCACTACCCTCAACTCATGCCTTTTTTGAGGGGAATTTGCATCTATACCCACGTTTTAACTTGTGCCCGCTTTGCAAAAAAAATTGCAAGCGTACCTACTTTTGCGCATAACTTCAACATACGAGACTGAAGTAGCAAAGGCAATCACGCAAAACTTCTGTATTCTAGTAGTCGGGCCTGAAGTTCAGCTCTAGAGTTGAAGTTTTTGTTTTATAACTCGCGAACTTTAGCTTTAGAGCTGAAGTTTTTGTGTTTGTAACTGGCGAACTTCAGCTTTAAAGCTGAAGTTTTTGTCCGAACTGTCAAGTCATTTACATAGTAATTGTTTTGTTTACTAAAACTTTTATTAAAATTTTGTCCTATTAATAATCAACTTTTCATGCCATAACATATCTCAAGGGAATGTAGATGGCAGTGGTAATTCGATAATAACAATTGTGCTTCGATAATAACAATACCATAACATAAGTTGATGATTGAAGTTTGTTCTTGATGATATTTGGAGGTTATATTTCAAATTTGATCTTATTTGGAGTAGATTTAGGTATTAAATTGTCTATTGGATTGTTAAAATTCGAAGAACAAATTTTTGTTAATAGACAATTTGCAGTTCAGGCCTATTTGCCTTAAGTGCATGACAACGTTGGTTGCACTTCAGACTTTTTGGCCTTAAGTGCATCTGAAGTGTAATTTTTCACTTCAGACTTATTGGCCTCAAGTGTAGGAAAATATTTGTTGCACTTTAGACCTTATGACCTAAGTGCATCTGAAGTGTAATTTTTCACTTCAGACTTATTGGCCTTAAATGCATGAAACCGTTAGTTGCACTTTAGACCTATTTGGTCTTAAGTTCATCTGAAGTGTAATTTTTTCACTTCAGGCTAATTTGTTTTTACTTCAGACCCGATAAGTCTGAAGTTGATCGTAAAGTAGATAGGCTTGCAATTTTTTTTGTAAAGTAGGTATAAGTTCAATTGTGACTCCAAAACCAATTATAGATGCAAAAGCCCCCAACGCACCCACTACCCTCAACTCATGACTTTTTTGAGGGGAATTTGCATCTATACCCACGTTTTAACTTGTGTCCGCTTTGTAAAAAAAATTGCAAGTGTACCCGCCTTTTCGCATAACTTCAACATACGGGGCTGAAGTAGCAAAGGCAATCACGCAAAACTTCTGCATTCTAGTAGTCGGGTCTGAAGTTCATCTCTAGAGTTGAAGTTTTTGTTTTGTAACTCGCGAACTTTAGCTCTAGAGCTGAAGTTTTTGTGTTTGTAACTGGCGAACTTCAGCTTTAAAGCTGAACTTTTTGTCCGAACTGTCAAGTCATTTACATAGTAATTGTTTTGTTTACTAAGACTTTTATTAAAATTTTGTCCTATTAATAATCAACTTTTCATGCCATAACATATCTCAAGGGAATGTAGATGGCGGTGGTAATGCGATAATGACAATTGTGCTTCGATAATAACAATGCCATAACATAAGTTGATGATTGAAGTTTGTTATTGATGATATTTGGAGGTTATATTTCAAATTTGAACTTATTTGGAGTAGATTTAGGTATTAAATTGTATATTGGATTGTTAAAATTCGAAAAATAAATTTCTATTAATAGGCAATTTGCAGTTCTGGCCTATTTGGCCTTAAGTGCATGACACGTTAGTTGCACTTCAGACCTTTTGGCCTTAAGTGCATCTGAAGTGTAATTTTTCACTTCAGACTTATTGGCCTTAAGTGTAGGAAAATATTTGTTGCACTTTAGACATTATGACCTAAGTGCATCTGATGTGCAATTTTGCACTTCAGACTTATTGGCCTTAAGTGTAGGAAAATATTTGTTGCACTTTAGACATTATGACCTAAGTGCATCTGATGTGCAATTTTGCACTTCAGACTTATTGACCTTAAATGCATGAAACCGTTGGTTGCACTTTAGACCTATTTGGTCTTAAGTTCATCTGAAGTGCAATTTTTTCACTTCAGGCTAATTTGTTTTAACTTCAGGCTAATCTGAAGTTGATCGTAAAGTAGATAGACTTGCAATTTTTTTTGTAAAGTAGGTATAAGTTCAATTGTGACTCCAAAACCAATTATAGATGCAAAAGCCCCCAACGCACCCACTACCCTCAACTCATGACTTTTTTGAGGGGAATTTGCATCTATATCCACGTTTTAACTTATGCCCGCTTTGCAAAAAAAAATTGCAAACGTACCCGCTTTTTCGCATAACTTCAACATACAGGGCTGAAGTAGCAAAGGCAATCACGCAAAACTTCTGCATTCTAGTAGTCGGGCCTGAAGTTCAGCTCTAGAGTTGAAGTTTTTGTTTTGTAACTTGCGAACTTTAGCTCTAGAGCTGAAGTTTTTGTGTTTGTAACTGGCGAACTTCAGCTCTAAAGCTGAAGTTTTTGTCCGAACTGTCAAGTCATTTACATAGTAATTGTTTTGTTTACTAAAACTTTTATTAAAATTTTGTCCTATTAATAATCAACTTTTCATGCCATAACATATCTCAAGGGAATGTAGATGGCAGTGGTAATGCGATAATAATAATTGTGCTTCGATCAAAAAATATAGTTTATTTATTCGAGTCGTGATCCCGATTCGTCTGTCCTGTGCAGGAAAAATAGGAAGGGATTCAAATAATTATCTTTAGTTGTTACAAAATTCAGACTCGCAAAAGCGATAGTAGTAAGAGAGCAGCACCAACAACAGCAGAAGAAGGAGGAGATAGGGGGCTGAAATTATTTAAAAAGTGGGTATAAGTTAAAAAAATTTAAAAAAATGGGTATAGGTTAAATGGGGGGCGACCAAATAGAACGCCCCGTGCAATTTTACCTTTTTTGACCATTCTAATGTTATGTCCAACAAAATAAGCAGCCTAATATAGAAAGAAGTTAAAAAAAAAAAAGAAGAAGAAGGTAGAAGAAATGAAAAAGGAAGAAAGAAGAGAAAAGGACTGGATTAGTAGTTTTCTCCTAATTAAGCTAAACAAATTCATAAGCAAAAGACTATCAGGAAAGAGAGATTACAACTTAGCATGCAACAGAATTTAAATGAAGCGTATACATCATTAAACTTTTTATGGTTTTCAAAGGAAAAGTTAAATATAGTGTAATATGTACAAGCTTTTTAATTAGTATAAAAAATCATTTGATGCGAGGATCTAACCCGAAAATGTGGATTGTGCCAAACCCGTATCTATTTTGGATCCGACATGCCCACCTCTGCATGAATATTTTCTGAGTACCACTTTACAGTTATGCTTTACTTTTGCTATAATCACCGCAGGCGTATCTAATGCAGAAGTTATTGGTTCTAACTTGAACTTGTAGCTTTCGCTCATACCTTATATTTTTGTCTAAAAAATTATAAATATGTATAAATAATAAACTTTGAACTCATTAAATTAGATGAGATGTGGTAGCATTGCGAATCTGAACTCATAAAGTTTAAATCTTGAATCCGCCTCTGGTGATCGCGTAACATTATTTATATACCTATTTTACAAACGAAGTGAACTTCGGACATGCCTGAAGAAGGTCTTCTTCAAAGCGAAGACTATCTAATTCACATCATATATAAAAGCATGCAGAGAGAGTAGATACTAAAAATCTTATGATAGAAGTACGTGATCATCTCATTTAAATATTTAAACAAAACATATTTTTATTTTTTAGTTATATCTTCAACACGCCTCACGACGTGCAGGCTTGATTCTTTTATATATGTCATCAAGCAGAAGGAATTCTTTTATATAATGGATGAAGCTGAGACTCAAACCCAAGACTTTTAATTTGCTTGCTTTTATATTATGTAGAAGTATATAATCATGTCATTTAAAGTTTAAATTGTTAGAAGAAACATATTTTTATGTGTTAATTAATTATATTTTTAACATGATCAAGTTCATTGTAAATATACTTGTACTTTGACAATTGTTAAATTAACCAATCGGATTGCCTGAGTAGAAGTACTTTCATCCCAGCTTCATAATAGACTATTTTCATCTGTGCCTAGTCTATTTTGGGTAAGAAATATGTTCGACTTGATTCTTGTGAGAGAAGACATGGTTACACTGTACCATGAGTACCTCGTTTAATTTCTACTAGTATAAAGTTTTGAATAGTTGGTCAGTGTCTAGCCTTGTGAGAGAAGACATTTGCATGAAACACAAAGTACTACTTAAATACATTTGAATTATGAATGCTTTTACAACTTGGCTTCCAAAGTAAAACACATATTAGCCTTTTTGTCATGGTTTATTTGTAACTAAAAATGTTTGACTCGAGTTATATATTCTTTACCATGTTTTGGCACACTATAATAGGTGGTGGATTCGAGGAGGAGAGGGGAATCATTATTTCAAAGCTAGATCCTAGTTAGAAAAAATCAGCAAAAAAGGGACTAAAAATTAAAAGGAGAACAGGAAAAAGAACATATTTTTAAGTTTTTTTTTTTCTGCACGTGCTTTTCTTCTGCTGTTAAAGATGTGAACTACTTTTAGAAACTAAACGAGGAAACACGAATAATATTGGATCTTTCAAAATTGAGTCTGCGAAACAGATTTTATAGGTTTCTGCATGGAGTTTATAAGCTAAAAAGGGAGCTAAAATAACTGCTTAATAAAATATTATACCTATAGACAGAGACCACACACAACAACAGAAATGGGAAGAAATAAAATGAAAAAAGAAAGAAAGCTACTGCTCAAAATAGAAAGTAACTTGCTGTCGAGCAGCAATAGGTACACATTAAGCACATAAAATTTAAGAAAATAAAACAAGTAAACACAAACAGGGAATTAGTTACAAAAAGTGAAAATTATACTACTACAAACAAGAGGTAGCACTGTTCCAAAAGTAAATAAATTAAAGAATGTCAAGAACTAAAAAAGATCAAGAATGGAACCAAAAATCACACTATAGGGTAAAATATGTATTTATTATTAATTTAAAAAAATACTCTGAATACTCTTGCATAACATATTGTTAAAGGGTGTTCAAATTATTGAATTTTCTGAATTAGCCACTTGATTGAACATATTTTAAAAAAAAATATAAATTTAATAAAAAAGAAAAGAGGTTCTAATTAATTGGTAAGACAAATTATAAACGAAGAGTAGTAAAAGTAGAGAAAAGACGTACCAAGAATCAGTGGCATATTCAAAGAGTTTGCCTTTAGTAGAAAAAACAATCAAACCAACATCAGCATCACAAAGCACAGAAATCTCATGAGCTTTCTTAAGCAAACCAGATCGACGTTTTGAGAAAGTAACTTGTCTATTAATTTTGTTCTCAATTCTCTTCAACTGTACCCTTCCTCTTCCCATTTCTTTTTTTGGCTAATTTTTTTTTCTCCTGAAAAAAAAAATAGTAGTAATATATTCTCACAAATGGAGAAAGAAAAGAAGAGTGCAGAATAAGAAAGTGATGGTCTTATTCTCTTTATTTCTCTCTTTGGTATTGAAATGATTATTCTGTGTAGCTTAAGGAATTGTTTATTGTTATAGTATTGGGAAGTGGAAATTAATAAATATCCCAATGAGAGGAGGAGAGAGGGAGAGCAATGGTATTTGAAAAACCAGGATGGTTTCGTCAATTGCGTTGTCGATTTTTGATTGGTTAAAGAAACTGGTGCGTCAATTAGTGTCTGAGTAAAGGCCACAAGTTTTTGGAAGAATCAACAACGGACAAAAGGTACGGACTAGGTATCTTTTTCGCTTACTTTTAATTTTCCATTCTGGCATCTTTGTGATTTTAGAAAGAATTAGGGCGTTGTTACTTGACTTAACCGCTCAATTGAAAATAGCTCAGATTTGAAGCTCTTATCCTATTTTGCATATGTTGTACATAATTTCAAAGAAATTTTTTAACCTTTAGTCCATTATTAAAGATACACTTTTATGATTTTTATTATTTTCTTTTTTCTTCATTCCCAGCACACTAAATGGTGGCAAGCAAAACAATATTGGAGATTTTTGAAATAAAAATAAAAATACACACAAATCTAAAAATAAATAGCTCTCAAACTTGATTTGCACCAAAAAATAACTACTAATTTTGGAAGATTTTGAAGTTTGAAGTTCTGGTCATTATTATTATGACCTTGAAGTCTCGAATCTGAAATTGGGTTTGGATAAAAATCATAACTATGTAGCAGTTTGTATCAATACTGTATACTAGTATATAATTGTGTATATGGATATACAAACGCCTCTTATACACTATTATACATGTTTATACAAGTTATATAGTATTGTATAATTATGTATATTTGTGTATAATGTTGTATAATTATATATTTTTTTCAATTTATAAGGATGTATATACATTGTTATTGTGTAAGAGGCCTCTACGGAAGTTTGACACTTCCTTCTCTTCTTCTTTTTCATGTATGTATTGTATGAGCGTTGGAAGGATTCTACAATTCATTTACCAATTTTTTATTTTTCTTTTATCCTGTTGAATTGCTTCAGCAATTGCATATAAAAGTGTTTGAATTTCTTACCTTCAGATAATATGCATTATTCAGGATTTTTGAGTTGCGTTATGGCTGATTTGCATTTTTTTTATCAAATGCTTAATAATCAAAGGAAATCAAGAGAATGAAAACAACTGGTTGTATAAAGAGGGAGCAATAACCGTAGTTGATTGTGTAAAATAAGCCGTCTTTCGGGAATTAGCCTATTATTTTTGGACTATAGATTTGCAAAGTGGTATCTAGGCTATTATGTTGCAAGTCATGTGTGTGAGTTGTATTATTACTTTCTCCATCCCAATTTGTATTAATTCGATTAGTTACAAAATTTAAAGGTAAATTAATTTTTAGTACAAAAATATATTTTATCAATTTTAATTTATGTGTCTTATTTTGACTGTGTGCCCATTTGGAAGGCTTATATTAAGTGCTTTTAAGTCAAAATAATTTTTAAGTTATTTTATAGTGTTTGGATAGAGTAAAAAAGTACTTTTAAGCACTTGTTTTTAAGCTAAAATGACAAAAAAACAAACCAAAAGCTATAATCCTAAGTTATGGCTTAAAAGCCATTTTGACTAAAAATCTACTTAAAATAAGCCCATCCAAACGGGCTTTATATGCAAATTTTAAAAAATATGAAAGGCTTTTAAGGGTGTGTTTGGTAAAAATTGCATGGGGCGCCTTATTTGGTCGACCCCATTTAACCTATGCCCATTTTTTTTAAAAACTTTTAATTTGTACCCACTTTTTAAATAACTTCAGCCCCCTTTCTCCTCATCCTTCTCCTCCTTCGTTTTCTTCTTCTTCTTCTTTCTTTATTTCTTCGTTCTCATCGTCCAATTCATAATCTTTGTTAAAAAAAAAATAACTTTCTTATACCAAACACAGTACACACTCCCATGGTTGGTTCATATCCATTTGCATTATTCATTAATGAAAGGAGTTACACTATCTATTATAGTAGGTCTAACTCTACGCTCTGCTTTAAGGCTAAAAAGTCAAAAACCCAAATACAATATAGTAGTAAGTGCTGAAGCAAAGCATCTGATTCGTAGCTTACTTAAGTGAAAACATAAGAAAAAAGTAAATATAACAAATAGTGCCAATTTGTTATACAGTGCTGAAGTAAATATAACAAATAGTGCCAAAAACTTCAGCTCTAGAGCTGAAGTTTGCCAGTTACAAAAACAAAAACTTCAGCTCTAGACAAAAACTTCAGCTTTAGAGCTGAAGTTCGCCAGTTACAAAACAAAAACTTCAGCTCTAGAGCTAAAGTTCGCTCGTTGCAAAACAAAAATTTCAACTCTAGGCCAGTTACAAAACAAAACATCAGCTCTAGAGCTGAAATTCGCCACAGTTACAAAACAAAAACTTCAGCTCTAGAGCTGAACTCCAGGCCCGTCTTCTAGAAATGCTGAAGTTTTGCATGATTGTCTTTGCTACTTCAGCCCCGTATGCTGAAGTTATACGAAAAAACGGGTACACTTGCAATTTTTTTTGCAAAGTGGGCATAAGTTAAAACGTGACACAAAAAGTGGGTATAGATGCAAATACCCCGTGTGTTTGGTACGAAAGAATACATTTTCCAGAAAATATTTCAATTTTTTCATGTTTGGCTGTCCTAAATATTTTGAAAAATATTTTCCTCATGAGCTTATTTTCCTCCAATTGGAGGAAAATATTTTCTCTATCAAGAGAAGGGAAAACATTTTCCAAAATTCCTTCTCAACCTTATTACCATCCCCACTAATGGGCTGACTTATAACCACATAAATATACATATGAATTATTTTACCACAAATTTTAAAAAGTATTTCTTTCTTTCGTAAACTCACACAGTCAATCACATAAATTGGGATGGACAGAGTACTATCTATTAATGTATATTTACGTTTTCTACAAAAATACTACTATAAGAATAGTGTTTGATTGAAGGGTAAAAGATTGTTTAATTTTATACTGACTATTTTGGTCCATCAATTTTTTACTTTGGATCTACTATTACTTGTTATAGCATGTTAGTTATCTTAATTTTCTGATAATTGGTTTCATTTGTTCCTATATAGCTTAGTTTCAGCCAATTATATATCTTTTGAATGACTTGATAATATATTGCTTGCACTATAAATATGTAGAAGACAAACTATTTTGTTGTTATGGTGACGGCTACCTTGTGAGCTAGGTGAATATGAGTAATTTATTTGCTGGTCAGTTTTCACTTTGAGTCATACTAACATAATCTTTTTGATGTCATTGATTTGGACCCTATCTATCTTGACTTGTCCAGTAATAATACAATATAGTATAATCTAACTGAATAAAGTTTGGACGATGAAATTACAAAATACCTTTAATATAATTCATCGCATACCAATCCAAGTAATTTGGGCAGAACTTTGATCCAGAAAAAGTTATGTAAAGTTGCGTAATTAGTAATTACTTGCTCCACACTATAGGAGTCGTCATTTCTTTCCTAGACGAATTTAGAATTTAAATTGTATGAGCTCAATCTTTAAGGTTTTAGTACTAAAAAGAGCAGATTGGTGCACAAAGCATTCCGTGTTCACGCAGAGTTCGGAGAAGGATTGTACTCTAACAAAATGTGATGTGGGCAGCCTACTATGATACACACATCAGTAATTGATTTCACGACTTGAACCTATAATTTATAGGTCACGCAAAGATAACTTTATCGTCGTTAAAGCCCC